ATGTAGAAAAACTTGTAAATAAATCTGTACATAACAATTCCGTGTCTGCGTTTTACTTGTACCACGACGGCGTCACGTGGATTTTTAGGGCGACAAAATCCTTCGTACGCCTTCCTTCGGAGGGGAAGTAAAGCCGGCTGTCCCATGCTTCGTAGATTTTTACTTGCATGTAAAAGATCCTCAAGTCTAAATGACGCCTCTGAGCTAAATTCAAATCGCCTGTTTCTCTCCTAAGAAATACCTCCTTTCTCTGCTAGTGATAAAGGAGCGTAGCGAAATTTGCGTGGTCAGACGGAAGAGCGGGCATGATGGCCGAGTCTCGCCACGTAAAATCAGGCAAATTCAATTCAATTCAATTCACAGGACCATGTTGAGAACGTGTGAAGTTTCCATTGCTGCTTCCTGATCGTATTTCCATTTTCTGCGCGCGCGTTGGCGCTCGTGGCCGGCGTTTTCCAGCTGGCTCAGCGCGCGTGCCACGGCGGGGAGGGGCGGGGAGCCGGGATCGGCGCGGTGACCTCGCCTCGCCACCGGAACCGGAAACGGCAAAAAAATGACAAGCGCGCAGCCGCAACTACGGGACGCAGCAGCAAGGCGCCGGCGGTGGAGGTGGAGGTGATGTTAGTGTGAAGACCACGTTGGAGAGCGCTTGGCTACGTCGTTATCTGTACTTCACGTCGCGGCGGTAAGATGTCGACAAATGATGTTTGCAGCGAAATGGATTTTGTGCGAATGGCAGGTCGCGTGGTGTATCGTGTGATGTGACGCGTTAATTTCACAATATTACTTTCAGTTACTTTAATTAATCGAAATTGATGGGACAGTGGGTGAAGACTAACGAACATAACTCGGAAAATAGTGTTTGCTTACCAATATTGAAAAAAAAATTCGTGGACAATGTGTGTGTATCCGTGTGTTTTGTTGAGAAATTTGTTTTTCGAATATTTTAATCCGAATTTTGAATAATTAGTTTTGGAGATCCACACATTTGGTAATGAAAATTCATGTTCCAACATACATTCAATATTTAACGTCGAACATCAAATTGGAATGATGCTGAACAGGAAATCGTAGTGTCCTTTCTTGTGACTGTTCTTTAGGGTATTCTTTATCCTTTCGCAAAAGTTTTCTTAGTGCGTTTTGTTTGTTGTGACGATCTGTTTGATAACCAAGTTCATATTTACATATCACTATAATTTACAAAACGGTCTTCAGTGTTTAAGAATTTTTACTGTATTCCATTACTGATTTTTCAGCTTCTTGCATTTCTGAATATGACAGCATTTACACTCTTCTCACCACAACGTATGAAACACGTCGTGTATATTTTATGATTGTAGCTGATAAACGAATCATGGGCGAAAGTCTCATTTCACGAATCTTCATTTACCTCCCACTATTTTCTCTCTACTTTGGCATACCTGGTTCTAACCAAATTGGGATCCATTACTTTGTTCTTTTACGGTTTGTACTTTCTGCGGGGTAGCCCACAAAGAAATTAGAAACTAATACATCGATTCTCATTCTAGAGGAATTATTTATAAAGACAGATCAAAAACTTATTAAGGACATTGTCTTGTATTCCTAGTCGTCAACGTCATTTGAAATGGATTTTGCACGTTAGATAAACATTCAGGATACAAGTCAGCTCGCTGATTTGCAGTCGAGTGTCAAAAATAACGATTTATTTCTAACAAAATAGGAAAGTAATATAATAATTCTAACAAAATAGGAAGGTAATATGAATAAATAATAGGTGGTCCGACCCGCACTCGGGGTTTACAATCCCGCGTTCTGACGTCACTGGTGAACGACGCCTCACCGGGTCCAAACATTGGGATTCGGAGTCTCAATTTGCAGACCAGTCAGAGAGAGCGTTGACGCTAGAGCAGAAGTGGGCAGAGTGGGCTCTAACACTAAGAAGCGTCTGGTGGCCACCCCCGAATGGCGTCCTCCTTGACTAGACGGGCGCGTGGGTCGCGGAGCGTTGCCAGTGGACGTCACACTCGGACTCGAGGGCGCGGAGGCGGCAGCCGTGACCTCGTCGAAGGCGATTGGCAGCAAAAGTCCTCTCGCGAAGGCAAATTTGGGGACAAGGGCACACCTTAAACGTACTACGCGGTACTATACGGTAATACATGTGGCGTATGTCTTAGGCAATACATGCGGACGAAGTTATGCAGAAAACATCCACGGTGCCAAAACAATATGTTTTGAAAGTGGCTTGGAAAGTTGGGGCACATCTTAAAATTTCGAGAAGCCAGGATACACGCCGAAAATGGGGTGGAGTATATAATTACACTTAATTCACATTATGTTTTCGTAATTTCATCAATACTATCTACCAATGGTAACTTTATATAATTTAAGAATGTCAGAACAGTGAAAAGTGTTTTTTTTTCTGCCTCCAAAGATCGCACGTAACGGCCACATCGCTTGGCTGGATTGTGAAAATCAAATGATGATGCTCAGCTAACTAGAGACCGCCATTGCTTAATTTTTACATTTTGTGCATTATTCGCATTCTGCATGACGCCATATAATTTTTTTTAAACGTTTAGTAGTTTTAGCGCAATACTGCATGCAATTTTAAAAAATTACAAAAACAAGATTTTCTCAAAAACGGCTCCAATTTTTTGCTTCAAACTTTTGGTAGGGTTGGGCAAAATGCACTCTATGAAATGGCATAAACATATTGCTCTATTCTTTTGTTTTCTCAAAATTATAAAAAATTTTTTTTTTAAACTTTTCTCTCACGTCGAATTTACATTACTGACAATTTGTTCACATTATTATACTTATGAGTAAGTGTGCTTTAAGTAATTTTATATAAAGCTTCTCAAGAACTCAAGCGATTTCTATCAAAACTAGCTCAAAATTTCGCAATTTCAGAAACGCTCAAACGCTATTTTTTCAAAATCTGCTTCAAATATTTCCTTCAATGATTTTGAAAGCATTGTGTTAATTACACTCTTTAATATGAGGTAAAGTACATTTCGGTGTATTTTTTGTTTTCAAAAACTTACTCAAATGAAATTTATTTGAAATATTTCTAACGCTGGTAATATTAACATTTCCAGCAATTTGTAAACACTATTCTATTTGTGAGTTAAAGTGATTGAAATGACTTCAAATGAAGTGTTTCTTAAACTCGAAACGTTTCTGTGAAAAGTGGTTCAATTCGAGTTTACTGTATTGATTAGCATTTTCTAAAAGTGGCTCCAAATGTTGCAAAGAAAATTGCCCTTTAGGATGCGATTTTACCGTTCTTTAATACTCTTAAAATAATATATCCGTTCTACAATTAGGAAACCGAAAAATTCAGAAAGTTCAAAAAAAATATGTGGAGGCAATAGCTGACAGCAGGCAATACGTGGAAAGTTCGAAAAGCTAGCCGAGACCAAAGGAAAAAAAAAAAAACGATACAGGAAAGTCTGTGCCATTCTGTAGCACCACTACTTTTTAATTTATAGTCTTCCGGGTCCCTTTACAACCAGGAGAATACCGAAGCAGTATTCTAACAAATGGGTTAAGGACCGCAAGCGGTCTATCTTTATCCCCCTTGTTTCATCCTCTCCCCTTATTGCCACTCACTTACCCTTACATGCACTACACATGATCTTTCGGGAGTTAAGAAATTGCTCCAACGGGGGGGGGGGGTTTTGCCGGGGGAGATTCCTTGAGGGGGAAATCCCCAAAAGTCGTAGCTACGAGCAGTTCAGCGCCGGATCTCGCCTTGTAGAGGAGGAGGAACACTTCCTCCTCCCGGAATCAAATTCACGACACCAATAGATCCAATGACCGAATACAGCAATATACAATAGACACAGATGATCTAAGTGGGCGACCGCTTTAACGCACCCCACTTACAGAGCCAGAGAGACTCACTTGCAGACCCTGGAGCACATTTGTTGAATGTAGTGAGGGGGGGAGAGCTCTGAGTTATATGGAAATCGAGCGGGATCAGAATATGAAGATGAATTCTAATATTGCAAGCGCTGCTAACATTTTTTTAAAGTAAATACCAGGATGTAATTCCCCAAACGTAATAATGCTGTGCGCCATGTTTGGCACAAGAACCACAGGTTGGCAACACCCGTTTTATAGAATTTTTATTCCAAGGAGATGCGACTCACATTTACATAATTTATCCTCAGTATTTTTATTTCGTTTTACTTAACATTTATAATTGCCAAAAGACACACTAAACATTAGGAAACTGATTTTCATGTGATTAGGAATAAGATGCCTGCAATCTTGAGTTTACAAGACTTTCTGAATGAATTAGAACAATTTTTATTTTACATGTTTTGGTTTACTTACATTTTAAAAAATGTTTGCTATTACTACATTTTGCTTGCATATTTCGTTTTATTTTGAAATATTTATACATTAAAGCGGAATATTTCATATGTGACTTTGCTAATGTAATGTTATTGCAATCATCTTTCTTACAAAGCAATGGAATACTATACTTCTTTGGCTACCGGACCATCGCCATGAATTGTCAAACTTACCCCCTCCCCCGCTCCTTGAAACCCACATAATTGGAATTAAGAATGAGCGGTTGTTTGTGATGCAGGCGGAATCTCAGCCAGGGTCTTGCTCATGTTTTACAGAGCGCATGCGTATCTCGATCGAAATCTGATAAATATTTTATTCGGGTGGGACGGCCGTCTTTCGTTTTCCAATGACACCGGAAAGGAAGAAATCGAGAGGATTCTGATCCGTAGGTCGTTGAACCCCTCTTATTGGCCGAACTTATTGCCTTGCTAGGGTTCCAGGAATTTTGGATTTCGGTGCAAGCAAACTTTCCTAAAAAATCACATCTTGAAGTAATGTAGACTGTAGGCTGAAGAATAGTACAGGCTGGATGGAGAAAGGATCTGAACGGCTTACAACGGAACTTCCACCAAAAGATACGACAATTCACTCCTGAGAAAGTTTAAGTACAGTGTGCCATCTAATCTATCGGCGAAAATAACCGCATCAATATTCAAATGCCTGCAAAAGTCGGTTCGAATATTTACAAACCATCCCACTTCATTCATCTCAGCCCATGTGGAATTGCATACATGCATGATGTAGAAGTCGAGGACAGTTGGTACGCGTGGCATGGAGGCAGGCAGGGCGCGGGCGGCGCGGCGCGGCGTGGGCGAGGGCGTGGGTGGGGCAAGTGCGTCACCGGCAGCGGCGCGTTGGCGCAGCTGAGCGCGGCGGTGGGCGGTGGCGCCGAGGGCGGGAGAAGTGGGGGGGGCGCATGGAAGCCATGATGACGTCGAATGCGCACGTGGCACGTTTTATGGCATTTCCAATAAGCGCGCTGGAGCTGAGATGGAGCGGTAAACCATAATTAGAGATGAATAGGCACATATTATCCTCACGTTTGAATAGATTTGATTAAGAAATAAAAGCATGTCCTACATTGGGAACTGTTTCCCTTTTTCAAACATCTGAAAACTACAGCGGTTGCGTTTTAGATATTACCTTAACAGAAAGGATTTTTAACAGAAATTTAACAGACAGTAACGAAGAGTATACAATTTTTAAACCAATAAATAAATGAAAAGTAAGAAAACACGTCGTTAGTAAGTAAACACGCGGTGTTAAATAGTGGGCTGAAGCATGTGTATCAGAGGGCCAAGGGGCAGTAAAAAAATCGAGGGCATGGGGCGTATGTTTCGTAACGCATCTGCATCTACGTCTGTGTGTATTATCGACATAGCAGCGAATTTCACCAGTAGTTCCTAGGATTCTAGTGCTGACAGTGACGGAATTTTCAACACTAGCTAAATAGCTGGGTCGCGTTCTTTGTATCGCCCGGCCACTCTGGCCTGTAGCTTTCCGTGGTTTCTCCCGTCAATACCAGGTAAATGCCGGAGCAGTTCCCTAACAAAGGGGCCACGGATCACGCGCGATCTTTCCTCCTTCCTCCTGATCTCCCTCTCTCCTCAGGCACACCTACACACTTACACGCACTACATTGCCACATTTTATGTCGGGAAATCAGTTGCAAATTTAGGGCCTGTCCCGTCTGGGGCGCTGTGCCCTGCTGGCGAAAGCCACTGCAGGGGGTACCTCGCAACCTAATGTGTAGGTCGGCGCCGGATCTACCGCTCCAGAGGCGAAGGAACTCAACCACCTCCCGGAATGTAATACTTTATGCACCACAAGTACTGGAGCAATGGCCACAACACTTGATCGGAAACCCGGAAAGACCAAATCACCAATCAATCAATTAAATCCCTAAGGTCTCATCCAGGCCTGCGCAGGGTGTGGGCAGATATCGAAATGGATAACCGCGAACGCTAATTAAAGAGGCACATGCTGAGAGTGATGGCTCAGGGCATGAACTGATGTCACTGTAGTCCCTCTGATCGAGAGGTCCTAGGTTCGAGACCCGACGTGGCAGGAGTTTCGACACTAGCTTGCCGGCTACGTCGAATTCAGTCGCTGGTCTGGAGGAGAATTCAAGCGGCCGGCTGCTCTGATCGGTAATTTACCGTTGTTTCTCCGATCAACACCAGGCGAATGTCGGAGCAGTACCCTAACAAACGGGTCGCGAACTATACGCGATCTTTCCTTCCTCTTTCTTGTCATACCCTCTCCCCTTACTTACACATACATTAACATGCATTACACTACCACACATGTCGAGAGACCGGTCGGGAGCTTAGAGCTTGTCCCCACTGGGACGGTGCCCCGCTGGTGGGAGATACCTAGTTGGGGAAAACTGCTAGCAGACGGTAGGAAGACGCTATACAGCGGGGGAAGACCACCTCACGAGGAAAACCATGCAGTACACTTAAGGGACTAATGATCTCAGGAATTGACGCACCCGGAATCACAAACAAACAATCAATCAATCAGCAGGTACAGGTGCGTATGGAAGGCATGTGAGGCGAAGCGGCTCGAGACCGCGTAGCGACGTCACAGGGTTGCGCGCACGTGGCGGCTAGGAGATCGCGTGCAACGTGCGAGCGCCGTGCCGTGCCGCGTTGCCGCGCCGTGCCGCGCCGCGCCGCGCCGCGCCGGCCAGGCGGAGAGGGTGGCGAAGAGGTGGAGGGGCGAGGAATGGAACGGGGGCGATAGAGCGCAGCGGGCGACAGTGGCCGCGAAGCAGCAGGAGCGACCTCTCTGCCCGGAAGCGGCGCCGCCAAAAGGGCGAGGGCGAGGGCAGTGCAAGGGCGTGCGTCCTTGGCAAAGCTTCCCCAAGGCCTTGGCCGGGAGTTTCCTACACTCCACCCAATATGTCAAGGTAGGTCGCCTTCCCCTATGTGGAGGCCCCACTTGGTAGCGCCGCCTTCGCCGCTGCGTATTCCCTACCGGTGATCAGGCAAAGCGAAGTGGAAGTTGAGCTCTGTTGGCGCGTGTTACGGTATTAAAAAAATGAACGAGGCATATGAATGTAGCGTCAGTTTCCACGGACGCAGGTTTGTTTGGGGAGACTGGGCCGCTAGCAATTGGACGCCTGAGTGTGGGCTGGAAATATTAACGTGACATTCTGGTTTAAAACCCAATTAGTAGCGACTTCAGAATATTGGAAGTTTCGTAAAACCTTTGGGGAACGTACGTCAGCAAAGTAATTGGTGGTTGTCAAGTAAGGAACAAGACATTCGCGGAAGCGGAGAAGGTTACTTGAAATTTGCTGATTGGTTCTGGTTACTTGAATTCACGAGTAATATATTTTCTTCGTGTTTGAGTAAAAGTGTTCTTATTTAAATTACCTCAAGAGAGAGGCCAACGGTCAGCGACGTTTCGTGAGTGGCAATACAGCTGCAGCTGAATAGGTTACCGGCATTCAGATGGTCGCAATGTGCGCTTTCGCTATTGCAGGGACATGGGTTCAGTGGGTTTGTATAACAGTGCGTAAAGGCGAAGAAGAGAGGGCAAGAAGTACGAGAGAATGCGAAATGAGCCAGGAACAGAAGGGAGTGAGGGGACCGACCAGTCGCAAAGTCCATTCGCCTGCACTGGCTTTGTGTCCCTTGTCCCACGCCGCTGCCCCTCCCCCGCACGGAGTCCGGGCTGCTCAATTCATTGCGCTTCACCTGCGCCACCCCCGACATTTCGCTTGAGCGTGGGCTACTATCGTCTCTGCCCACCCTCCGCACCCTCGCACTAACCCTCGTCGCCATCAACCTCTCCCTCGCTCTCACCCGCTCTGCTGGACTCCGTTTCGCTCATCTTGAAATGATAGAGAGATTGTGCACGACTCCCAGCTCCGGGAAATGTCTTTACCATCGATTACTACTGGTTTAAACTTAGTTTTGAATGGCCCTTTGAGTATTTTGTTTTATGGGATGAACGGGAGATAGGGAGAATTTCACTCTTTTATCAAGGGCATTGAATTTGAAAAATTGATAAAATACGTATTTATTAATGAACTGCATTCTCGTTAATGTTTTGGCTCTTTCATTATTTTGCGCACAATTATTCTTAACGAGTGTAGCGGGTAGATGCTTCATTTTACGGGCCTTAAAGTTTTGTAGTGAAATTATATCAATTTAATGACTACAATTTCAGAGAAAAAATTGAACCTTAGACTTGAAAAAATAACTCCCCAAAAATGTACGAATGTCAAACATCAGTTCTCGTCTATGCCTGGAATTCAAAAAATATTGAACTGCGGAGCTGTAGGTATTCATGGTCAAAGTATATAAATGGTATATAACATTCCCTAATTCACGCTATGAAAGTAGCATGTTACAAGCAAGGTTCTTTCAGTGAATCACATTTTTAAAAGCAGAAATTAAGGAATGCAGGTTTTGCTCTGATCGTATTACTAAAATTGAGGAAAGTATTAAATGACGTTTAGAATTCGATCGTTTTCATGAACAAATTCTTTCCAAGAAGTACTTCTATTTCTGATAAAAATAGAAACTAGCGGTGTAAAATTACACTTTATCACAGTGCTTCTAAGTTTTGTAATTTTCGAAAATGGAAAAGGTTCAACAGAAATGAAACCTCAGCCATTATTTTAATCGGCATTTAAGCTTCCCGTTGACAAAAATTAATACAAAAGATGTTGGAGCCATTTCTCAGAACATTTTGAAAATGTTTTTGAGGCTTCATGAAAAGTACCCTCAAAAATCAAAATACTCAGAACACCTATAGTCTGTTCAAATCGATTGAGGAATACCAATTTTGGAGAAAATCATATGAACGTTTTGGGCGCTCGTCTTGATCACAGACAAACCTACAGACATACACCCACACACGCGCAGACTGTTTTGCTATCAATAGATTTTTGGGTATTAAGGGCCCATACGTAAATTTTAACTGCACAAAGTGTGAGAGAAAGTAATTTACTATATGTAGCAACAAGATTTATCCCCTTTTTCGTTACGAGTGCCCAAGAAAAAGTGCCGATTTTCGGTGCCCAATTACAATACTTTCTCTTGTTACGAAGTAAGGCGAGAAAGTAATTTGGTGATTCCAAATAGCCCGTAAGAAGACAGAGAATTCGTGGAATTCGTTTCGCGCCCTCTGTCAGTCTGGCTGGAGCCGCCGACCCGAGCCGAGCGGTTGCGCAGCGCCCAGCTCCCGCGCTTCGGAGTCAACTTCGCCCAACACCAGCGTTTCGACCGGTGCATGTAGAGATGGATTGATGCATACGCGTGGCCGCTGATAATAGGGAGTGTGTGCCACCTCGAACGTTAAAAAAATTATCAATCTTCTGCGCATGCGCAGTTCAAGTTTCGCAGCACTTAAGTGCATGCGCAGATCGATGTCCGCTATGCACAAACTCCCTAATGCCAAACGTCACCGACTTCTCAACGGGGCGTGTCATTAGTTTAGTTCCAATTAACTTTGAAAAATAGTGGCATCAACGGTGAGGTGCAAACAACGGTGCAGATTGTGTCATCTGGTGAAGTGGGAATTGGGGCCGCCACAGCCCTTGAACACCATTAAAGGAAGCTCGGGGATTTCTCCCTTAATTGGATCATCACCCAGCACGCAGAATCATCCCTCAACGACAGGCCCGATGAACGAGGAAAGGTCAGTCAGTGAGATTGAAGACTTAACATGATAAAACATAGTACTGACTCGCTCTTGGCGAACAAATCTGTGATCTTTAATATAACGTACCGGTACATAACAGATTTAGTACGTGAGCTGATGGAGGCACAACTCCCAAGAACAGAAGGTTGGAATGCCGAATTGAAAACTACCCTTAACAGTGAAATTCAAAAAAGGAGAATCCTATCAATATTTCTGCGCAT